ACCTAAAGTCTTCCCTCCGTTTGCTTCTGTACCTTCCTGCTTGACAGAAACACATGTGCGTATTATTATCTGTATATAGTGGCGTGTTCTTTGAATTAGACTCCCAACTCCATCTTCCGGCTCATTGTAAGGCTATTGTGTTAGAAAAAGTCCCACAGTGGTCAACCTAGCAGGGCTGGGCCAGGCTGGGATGGCCGATTGCCTGACAGAGTCCTCCCGGGACCTGTTTGTCCTAACACGGACTGTTATGCTCCTCTCCGAAGCCAGGAGGCGATGCCGTTTCTCTCTCTTCCTTTTGCACCCTGCTCCGTTCTTAGTGAATTTAAAGAGCTCCCTGATCCGGACACCGTGTCTCACAGGCCCATCTGGCCCATGGACATGTTTTCCTTGGCCTTCACAGTTTGGGGATGTTTTTATTTAATTGCCAACATTTATAAATCGGGAATTTTCACATGAAAGCTTCCAGAGTTCAGGAGCCTCGCGAAGGGTGAACAGTCTGGAAACCCTGGGCTTCTATTTCAATTCAGCAGTCAGCCAGGGAGGACAGATAGGTACAAGGGAGGAGTGGAGAGTTTGTCCCTGTGTGTGTTCTGTGCCCGCTCAGCTCACTCCCCCCCGGCCAGCCTGGCCTCCACCGGCATTGGAGGTTGTGAGGTCAGCTCTCGTGGAAGACGGAGGGTCTGCCTAAGAAGATTATATTTCCTGATGTGTTTCCCACTCCCCCAGTTATTGTGCTTCTTGGAAGGAAGGCATCTAATGAGTCCGGGGAAGATTTGTGACTCTCACCAGTTTGGGCGGCTGTTTGGCTGTTCACCAGGGTGGGAAGGAGAGATGGAAGTTTCGTACAGTTGACTTGGACTATTAGTATGTTTTGGGCTCAGACACAGCTCTTGGATCTGGTCTTAGATCTTAGGATTCTGCAATTCTTTAGCAGAAATTCAAGCAGTTGTGTAAGTCTGCTGCGGACTCGAAAGGCAAAATTGGGGGGATGCAATGGAGAAGCAACAGGTGTCATAGTGCAGGGGATCATGCAGGGCCCGTCTGGAGCTGGGTGCTGTGAATAAACTCCCTCTGCCCCAAGCATGATGCCCATCAGAAGGAGAGAGGAGATATGTAAAGCGGCTCATTATCCCAGCATTTCTGGGGAAGGATGCTAAACTGGATTTTATTTACTTTATTTTTAATTTTTTAAATTTTTAAATTTTTTATTTTTTTCCGGTACCAGGAATTGAAATCATGACCTTGCACTTGCAAGGCAGGCCCTGTGCCGCTGAGCTAAATCCCCAGCCCCTAAACCGGTTTTTAAACTCAGGGTGCTTTATAAAACTCACCCTTTCCTTGTACTGATGAAGAAGGAAGAGAGATGGTGGTAAAAGAGACTGTGGTCTGGGTGAACAGTGAGTGGTGAGAAGGTTGGACTGTTGTGTACATGCATCCAGGGACAAGCTGGTACAACATACCCAGAACGGCAGGATGCAGGTGAATTGTATTGCACTCACAGGGAACCAGCCCTCTTCAAAGGTTTGCCTGACCCTTAGGTGGTCATTCTATTGAGGGAGCGGTGCATGTGTGTGTCCTCTGACGTGCACCAGTAGGGAAGTGTGTGGGGCAGGGGCCTCTTTCTGAATCTGTGGATCTGTGAGAAGAGTGTGTGGGAAGCCTCTCTGAATCTGAGATCCCAACATCCTGTGAAGTAGGAACTTTGCATCTCCCACCACCTGAACTCCATGTGGCCTGCTGGGGTTTAGATATGGGATTTTCCCGAAGGCTCTGCGTGCTCAGAAGTGCAGCTTTTGGAAGGTGATTAGATCCTAAGGATGCTGTGCTCATCAGTGCATTTACCCACGGGTGCATCCTGAGCTGACTTGCTGTTAGCCGCTGGAGCCTCGGGGGAAGGTGAGGGCCACTGAGGGCATGCCCGGGAAGGCTGTGTCTCCCTCTCTGGCTCTGCCCGTCTTTCTTCCTGGTCGCCATGCTGTGAGCAGCTCTCCTACACCATGTCCTTCCACTAGGCTCTTTTTGCCTTGGAGCCAGTTAGCTATGGACTGAATCCCCTGAAACTGTGAACCAAAGTAAACCTCTCCTCTTTTAAGCTGTGAGTATTGGGTGCTTTGTCCCAGGGACAAGAAAGTGATGGAGACACACCACAGGCTTTTGGTGGGCTGCAAGGGCTGGATGGGTGTCCTCCTTCAGACTTCTCCTGGTGTCAGTTAGGATGAGGACTCAGCTGTTCTTCCAGGATTCCCTGCTTAATTTTTCTCTCATGTCATACTATATCAGTATCTATGTTGAAAAGCCAGGTCTTAAGCAGAGGCCCATGTCTTGTTTTTTGGGCTTGAGAATATTGTGATGATCAGCACTACATTCTCTCCAGTGCACTCAGACTTTTGACTATTGATCACAACTTTTGGAAGTGGGTCTTGGCTTCTGCTTCTCCTCCTCATTCAACTTCCTGGTTTGGTCCCTCTTGGCTTTTGATTTTAAGTGCCCTACTTGTAATCCACTCAGGCTGAGAGAGAACTGAGAAATCGGAAGTATTTTATGCTCCAGGCTGCAGGCCTTATGAGGTGCTGACAGTGTTCGGTGAGGATATCTGTTCTGTTTTTCCTATTGAGATCCTGGGAGTATCTGGAGTAGAGAGCCTCACAGGGGCAGAGAGCATGTGAAACTGCCTCTGAGATAAAGCTGAGAGTGAGATGGCACGTATCTGCTCAGCCCAAGGAGGTGGGGCTCAGGGCAGGTTGGGGTGCAGGGAGGAAGGGAAGCTTTCACATGTACCTGTGCGGAAGAGAAGCCCCAGTGCTGTGAAGTTAAGCCAGTGAGCACAATCAGGTCACACAGACTGCTGTGCTGGCTCGGACAGCAGTGAGTGGTGGTCACTCCGGAGTGTTTCAGACGGGAGAAGGTAGCAGGCGTCACAGGCTGAAGACGGTCACAGGGCCGCGGTCAGAGTAGGAGGCTTTGCAGGGTAGGTTGCTTGCAAGGTGCTGCTGCTGCTTAGAAAGCTTTCTGTTTTTAAAACACCCTGAAATCTTCTGGGACTTTTTCCTCTGAAAAGATAACACAAAAATTCTCAACCCCCCAAGTCAGTCCTTCTTTTGAAACATAATTTTATTTTCTCTTCTTTTGAAGAGCAACTTCAAGTTCTCTAATAGAAAATTTCTGTCAGTAAATCTCATGAACATGTTTGGCTTCTTTATTTCTCTCTTGTGATTGTCTTGTTTCTGTAGCTGGCGTCAGGCTGAACCCCCATACGTGGTTACAGCAGTGCTTGTGATGCCCTTGATTAACAGTGTCCTCGTGAGTCCCGGTGACAGTCAGCAAGTGAGCAGTATTTTGGCTAAAAACCAGCATGCTTTCATGATCATTAATTGTTATTGGTTTTGACAACAAATAGAGTTATTTCAAAATTTCTTTAAAAAAGCTTTAAATTCTTTGGGGGATGATATAATACTCAATCCATCTTAATAAATAATTGTCATAGCATTAATTCATCAGTGAATGGGTCTGTTTTATGTTAGGAACTGGGGACTGGCTATAGCAATACTACAGGGAATCTCTTGTTTTGTAGGAGCTCACAATTATATTTCAAGACCATAAATTTGCATTTTTATTTGGGACGAGAAGTAATCCTCTGGCATGTCAGGGCTCAGCACACAATATTTCTTAATACACATGGATTGACTGATTCACCACCAGAACTCAAACTGGTCTATAAAACCGGGGTTGGTGTCCACTTGGTCTCCAGAGCCACGGGCTGGAATCACACTGGGCTTCTCCACAGGTGCTGTCTCCCCACAAGGAGCTGAGAAAGATCATCTGTGCTTGCCACGTTTCCCCATGGTGTCTGTGCTCGTGTTTTTATCCCCGTCATTTTGTAGTTCCTTCCTTACCGTGATGCCTTAGGCTGGCTTCGTGCTCTCCTTATTGCCTGTGGGAAGAGTGACGGTTGGCCCTCTCGGTTCCTAGGGCTCTGACTGGATCTTTATCCTCCAACACCCCCAGGTTGGTCTTAGAGCCAGCTCTCACAGTGTCTCCTGTCCCCACCCCTAGGTGGCTGGGAAGAGGCTCTGGCTTCTTCCTGACAGGCAGGGCTTCTTCAGCCCTGTGTCCTTCTTGTCTACCTACCTTGCTCCCTGGTCCAGTAACGCCAACTTGAACTCACCATTATATAACTCTTTGGGGTCAGCTATGTTGCTGTTTGTGCTGCACTGTTATTCTGCGCAGGTTTCCAGCTTGTGAAAAGTAGGGCCCTCCTCTTAGGTTATCCCTGTCTTCTACCCCAATTCCACTAGGATCTGCTTCAGTCTGTTCAATTCTTCTGGATATCATGAGACACTATTAACTTATGTTTATACTCAGCTGTAATCAATACCTGTCTGTAACCAGGTAATAAGAACCAAAAAAATTACTGGTGATAAAAATTTTGTTAATGTCAAAAAGTTTTTTCTGTGTTTTTTTTTTTTAGAAGTTAACTTAGTGTCTATCTGCTAAATTAAAAATATTGTGGAGTGCTGATTGAGACACCAAGTAGTTGACTATACAATTTTCTTTGTGGGGGATTTCACTTTACTCGGTGTACTTACAGCTTTTCTGTTGCTGGAAAAGTACGTGACATCCACAGCTTAAACAGGAGAGATTTCACTTGGGTCATAGTTCCAGTGGATTAGTCACTGGTTGGCTGCATCCGGGGCAGGAACCTCAGGGAGGAAGGGTGTGGTGGAGGAAGGCTGCTTAGTTCATGGCAGCTGGGAAGCAGAGCAGGGAGCACTGACAGAGAGAAAGGGTCAGGGACCCCAAGGTCACCTCTCTGAGACCCATCCAGTCACACCCATAAGTATGTTGTATTAGTCCGGAGGTAGCCCCTAAGTCAGTCAGATTGACCAACTTAACTCTCACATTTAGCTTTTTCACTTACTTGATGATTTTCATGACATTTTATAAGAGAAAAATATATTGAATGAATTTTTATTTATTTATATTTGTTAGATTTTTTTTGTCCTCTGCCGTTACAGAGATTCCTCCTTCTTCTGCTCCAAGTTTTAATAAGGTTAGTGCAAAAAGGTACATGGATAGAATTATGAATTATTTTAATCAAACCAGTTGCTTAACAAGTAAAACTAGATTTATGTTCAGGGTGAGATGAAATTTCCCCTCCAGGGTTTCTGTTGGAGATATCATCTGATGAAAAGTGATCCCATCTCTAAGCAAGACTAAAAACTAGGCCTACAATCCCTACAAATGGAGAAAGAAATGGGGGAAAAAAAGACTTCCATGTACCCTGGCTTTTTATATAATCCTTCACTTCCCCTGAGAGGAAGGCCCTCCACACTGGCCACTCCCAGCAAGAGACATATTTAATTGCTAATTCTTTGTCTTTGCCTTTTTAGTGTTATATTTATGATTACAAAAACTTGTTTAAAGCATTATGGCTAAAAAATGTAGTCAAATGTGCTGGAGCTCTTAAGGAACTCTAATAGGCTATCAAAAAACAGTGAAGATTTATTTAATGTCTTCCTTCCAGGAGGATATATTGTTGGTTCAGCTGCAAGTTCTTAACTTCACCGTATTTTATATACTCCGGCCATCACGGATCGCCACAAGGCCTGCTGCACGGTGTGATTTAAAATGTGTTCTGATTAAGTCTACAGAAGTGGTCCTGCTCCCCAATGGAGGAAGGAGAAGAACATCATAAATATACATTGTTTAAGTGTAAATTCCACTTTGCACTCATAGGCTATATTGTACTTGTGTGTTTTATGCTCTGTTGGTACTTTGAAAAAAAAATCATTTCATTTGGGGGCATTTCTAGGGATCTAACCAAGAGCCAGGCAGCAAGGAGCTACTTAGAATTTCTTCCTTAGAGTCTGTAACAGGAAGAGTAGAGTAAGAAGAGCAGAGGAAGGAGGTCTACGAGGAGGTCCCTCCTGCTGAATGATGTGCAGTGCGCACACACCTCACCCAGCAGCTGGGATGGGCGCAGCGCTCACTGTGTCCTAACTCCCGTGGAGGCGCTCTCCTACCTGACCCGAGAGCTTCCCTCTGGGTCCGTGGCTCAGAGAGGTCCTAGGACCTGGGAGATGAGGTGAGGCTGAGGAGAGCCGACAGCCTCTCTCTCCAGGATGTCCAGCTCACAGTGACATCCATGTGGTCACCCCCTGGGCGTCCTCAATTCCGCTTGCTCTCTGCTTCCATGCTGAGCATGGGACTCAGGAACCTTTGCGAGCACAGGATTCTGATGTCCGGGGTCCTTCCCGCCCGCAGCCCCCTTCGCTCCTGCCCAGGCCCGGCAGGACGACTGTGGGACCGAAACACCTTCCATCTCCTGAGCTCTGTCAGCTTTCGGACACCCTCACTGGGTCAGGGTGTGTCCCCCTGCCGGAAATGGGGGAGGGGACGGGCACGAGCCAAAGCATCAGGGACAACAGTAGCACAGGTAGAGTGCACACATTTGCTAAGACAGCAAAGTGGGTCTGAACCAGGCAGTGGAGCTGGGGTCCTGTTTCTCCCTGTGGACTAGAGAGCGCTGTGTACCCCAGAGCACAGTCCATGTAACTCAGACAGCAAACATGGACTGAACAAGAAATAAACGGTATGCCCCAAACTGAGAGGGGTAAAAAATGTAAAGGGTGGGGGAACAGACCCCATCTGTCTGTGTATCTGTTTATCTATCATCTATCTATCTATCATCTATCATCATCATCTATCAATCATCTCTCTATCAGTCTATCGGCCATCACTGCTGAGTTCGTACTGCCTGACTGGTCCCATCCCTGGGAGCCCGAGCCTCCTTGGGGCCCCTAGGTGATAATATTGAAGTCACATAGAAAGTCCTGTGCTTTGACTCTTCGGGTTATTGCACAGTCAACGTGGCACATCCACCTTGTGGTAGAAGAGCCCGCTGTGTGACTCTTACGCAAGACTCACAGATATTTTACAAAGTGAAATGGACGAGTAGCATCAGGTCAGCCTTTGCTGCCTTGCAGATTGAAGTCAGGTGAGATTTTCTGACTAAATGACTTCAAATGATCTTTTAGCACTCAGGGCTTTTACATTTGGGAATTGCAGAATGGAGTGGGAATCCAGGGCTGTACGCAGGGCAGGAGGAAGACCTCTCTGTCCATAGCCCGCGTGTACCTCTCCGGCTGTGTGCACGTTAACAGCGCTTTCTCCCCTGCGGCACTCACCTCCATAGAGAAGAGGTAGGCCTGAGCGTGAAATCAATTCAATGATACTAAGAAATTTAAAAACAAACCAGTCTCTGTCTCTCGGCCCACGGACTGTGCAACCACTGAGCCCCTCTGCATGTTAGGAACGGACCCCGGGTTGGGCACGTGCTCTGGAAAGGTGCCTCCCACGCCCTGGGGAGTGGAGGACAATGACGGACAGCTGGGCCAGTGCTACATGAGGGGGCACACAGTGGGTGAGGAACCTGGACAGGGCAGTGGGCATGGACGGAGGGCGGGAGAGCAGCTGTGTGAAGGAGGCACTGGGGGAGTTTGGCAGCAAGGTACAGAGGTGGGCAGGCTTCCTGGGGAGCAGCAAAGAGGCCGTGGGGCGGATGCCAGCGGCACAGACTTGGGACGGCCCGCGGGGCCGGGGAGAGCGATGGGTGAGCCAGTCCCGGCCGCAACGCACTAGCAGCCTCTGCTGCTCCCCTCTCCTGGGAGCTGTTGCCCTGAGTCTCCAAGCTCCTAGAGCCTGTGAGCTGTGCCTGCTGGGTTCTCAAGTGCTGTGCATTGTTTGATTAGATCACTCTTAACACTGGGTCAGGCCAGTCCAGGCAGCCAGGCCAGGCTGCTGCAAACCTTCCGCGAATTCCCGAGGCTGTCTGAGGACGAGGCTCAGACTTCACAACACTCAAGCATGGTCCTGGGCTTTGTGCCGCTTAGCTCTGTGCCCCTGCCCCTTTCCTGCACACACCTGAGGGCACAGACTGCTGTGGGGTGCTTGCTTTCTGCCAGCTTCAGTGACGTTTTACAGTCCAGAAGAAAGCAAAAGATAATTTTGCCTCCATCCTGTTCTAGGACGTCGGTTTGTTGAGAAGCAGCACCATTCTGTTAGGCATCCCAGGACACATTCGGAGGTTTTCTAAGATGACTGCAGAACCGGTTAACACTTATAGCTGCAATGCAGTCAGTAAAACTGGCCAAACGAACTCCCAGAGCAAAAACACAGGAAACCTTGGAGAAATGGAGGCTGCAGTAGGGACAGATATTTCTTGTAACTACTTAGGAATTTCTTGTGTGGTCCTGGGATAATTGCCTGTGGTGAAATTGTTTCTCTCTAGCCGCTTTCAGGTCCCTGCTATCCCTCTGGAAGACCCGCCTGTGGCTCTCTAGGACTGCGTCTGTGGGTCCTAACTCTTCCTTCCTCTACCGACACAGGTACGGTGGGACGCGAGCAGATCCCATGGGGCTCTTCTGTCATAAGAGCTTGACCTGTCCACGGCTGGGGGCATCAAGAAAGCGCAATGTGCGCACATGAGGAAGTTCCCCTCAGTACTGGAGGAGGACGGAATCGAGGTTGTCTGAAAATCGGTGGAACCAGAGAACACCGTGGTGAGCAAACTGAGCCCACTCAGCAGAGTTAAGTAGCACGTGTTTTCTCTCATCCAAGGAACCCAAAACATAATTAAAAGGAGCAAGACAGGAGACTAGACGGCAGACTGTGTACTAGAGGTGGGGAGGGGTGGGAGAAGGCGGATAACAGGGAGGTGAGAAGAAGCTAAGTTTGCTCCCTGTGCAGCACTGTTGCTGAAAGGCGCGGGCAGCAGAGACGGCTTTAAGGCCACGAATCGGATAAGTACAGGGTAACCACGGACTTCAGAAGCAGCCATGGCGCAGGGCCTCCACCAGGCCCTCGGTGAGCCGCTGTGGGCCTGCACCTGGCCCTTCCTGGAGCTTTCCCTGTCTCCCGCACATCTTCGCCCTCTCCTCTCCCTTCCGTCCGATTAGTAACATGGTATCATTTCTCTTAGTTACAAAGTCCTGCTCCCCCGCTGGCTTTGGGGTCCTTTGCTGTCCTGGGTGGAAACCCAGGCACCTGCCTCTCCTGTTCATCCCCAGCTCCCTCAGCTCCTCCAGTGCTCCAAACCTGCTCCATCGGGGTCACGAAGGACATCCCCGGGGCCAGCGGCAGTGATGATTGAACCAAGCTCGTTGTCTCTTCCCTCTTGGGCCCCTTGAGTGCTTGTCCTCTGACACTGAATTTGGAGCAATCAGAGCTTGATTCTGTGTGTGTATGTGTGTGTGTGTGTGTGTGTGTGTGTGTGCTGAACCCAGGGCTTTCACACTGAGCTATATCCCCAACCCTTCTTATATTTTACTTTGCTATTTTCATATTTTGACACAGGCTCTAAATTGCCCAGGGTGGCCTCAAACTTGAGATCCTCCTGCCTCGGCCTCCTAGAATGCTGGGATGATAGATATGTGTGCCACACCTAATTTAGGGCTCAGTTCTTGGACCCCTTCTCTCCCTATCTACAGCCGATGCCTTGCGGGGCCCCTCCCTCCTCCTTGTTTGAAGGTTCCGTGCGCACGTGACCCTGCTTACACACAGGCGTGGTCCTTCCTTGCACCCTGCAGACCCCTGCGGTGAAGCCCCTGTGCACACCTCCACGCGGATGGCGGTCGGATGAAATGCCTCCGCGCTTTCTCACTCCAACCCCTCCAGGCTCTCCCATCTCCCCCAGTTGCCTCACTGTTGCGGTTTCTGTCTAAAGTGGCCCCAAAGCCTCTTGCATGTGAAAAGGACTGGGTTACGGGGCTCATGGCCGACTGACTTCGGGAGGCAGGGTGTGGTCAGAGGAGACAGCTCCCTGGGGTGAGGAGCCCTCCTGGCTCCTCCCTTCTCTCTCTGCTTCCACCGCCAGAGGGAGAGCAGCTTCCCTCCACCAGACCCTCCCACCCCAGCCTTCCCGCCTTGGGGATGGCGACTGCGAACTGAATGAACACCTCGAGCCCAAGTGAACCTCTCCTCCTTCGCGTTCTGGTGTCCTGTGTGGTGTCTCTGTGACAGCAAGGTGATGACCCCGGAGACAAAACAGGGTAGAGCACAAGCCCGGCCTCTCCGTGGGAAGGGCCGTGAGCCGCACCTTTCTGCGCTCATCTCCTCTGCGGCCCCTCACACTCGCTCTGGCCTGCATGCGGCCCCCTTTGTAACCTGCGCAGACCCCCTCTGTGCCTGGGAACCGCCTCCTTTCACTGTCCCCGCTCACATGTCACTCCCGTGCGTCTGCCTGGCCCTCCCTGCTTCGCAGCCCCCTGCGCCCCAGTCCTGCTTCTCTGTGATCTTTCCCCACAGCACCGCCACCTCGGGACCTCCGTGCAGCTCACCTGTTTATTGTGTTTGATATCATCATCTGGCCAGTCCTCCCCCAGAATTCGTGCTTCTGGAGGGCTGGGATTGTTACATTCTGTGTTTTGTTCACTGGCGTATTCCAAGCTCTGTGGTCAGTACCTGGAACCCACTAGGTTCTTGATAAATAGCAGCTGAACAAATGCATGAGAATCAGTGTAACACGTACTACTTCCTCTTTGTTTTTTGTTTTTCTTTGGTGCTAGGAATTGAACTCAGGACCTTGCACTTGCCAGCCAGGTTCTTATGCAGCTGAGCTACATCCCTGGCCCCGTACTACTTCCTCAGGTGCAATCACCTTTGATCAGCAGGCCTGGCACGCTGGAATTGTTGCTGTTTTTTCTCTGTGAGGTGGGCAGGTTGTCAGCCATGGAGCAGCCACCAGGCGGCTGAGGTGTGGGTGGGTGGAGCTGCCTCGTAGGATAAACCTGTCCTGCATGTTGGAGACCTCTGGCGCCCCTCTATGGATACCACACTCTGCATTCCAGCCTCCTCCTGGTCCTAGCAATGTCTGCCAGGGCTTCTATACTTCCTTTCGCTCTGGTGACAGGTTTGCAGCCCAGGGGCTCATGAAGAGTCAGCCTAGATGGTCAAACAGGCCACTGGGAGATGACTACGGTTCCATTTGTTCCCGGCCGGGAGAAATGTTCTCGAAATCATTAGCAGAGTGAAATTCCCAAGAACGCCCTTACATGCTGTTCATTTCCTCCAGCCGTGATCACGCTTCCCCGAGATGGGGCCGGGCGTCCCCGAGGACGCCCGAGGCGACTTTCTCGCTCTATATTGGATCTCACATTCTGTGGATGAGGCCCTCACAGGCCTGGTTTCCTGTGGCAGCAGGAAATGCTCATTCCAGGGGTAATAAATCTGCGTACGACGTTGAGATGAGCTCTTGGGGCACAGGGGCGGTGCTGAGTGAGGCCTCTGGCTGGACTCTTGCCTCACCCGAGAGTCTGGGGGGCGAGACAGTCCCTCTGCTGTGGAGAAGGGGCAGCTCAGGGGACCTCGCTGAGTGTGAGGCTGCTCGGAAGCAGGCAGTGCGTCACCTCCGGCTCCGACCTTTGGTGCAGGGAGTGTACCATGCTAGGTGAAGCTAGAGTTCCAGGAACTGAATTTAGAACCCACCCTACCTGGCGGAGTGCAGAGCGGGGATTCAGGACTTCCCTAACTTCTTGGACAGAAAAATCAGTCATTTGCCCTGTGAGCAATACGTGATCCAGGAAAGTTTGGGCGGGCGGTGGGAGAAACAGTCACAGAGATAAACTCACCCTGGATGAGCTGCCTTCTGAGCTCAGCTTTAGGGAACCTGGCCACGAGGTCACGCAGGGGGAGGCGGTCGGTCAGCATGGCAGCCTTGTTCCCTGGCCCTTGCGGAGGCACAGAAGGTTCATCTGCAGGAATGCGTGGCTCCTGGGACGAAGGAACAGCTTGAAGACACCCAGAAACCCTGGGCAAAACCCTCTCCTTTTTTATTTTCAGGGTCTGCTTTCCCCAGCAAGGGGGTCAAAGCATAGCCTGAGTACTTAAATTCTAAAACTGTTGGGGAAAAGACTTGTTGCTAGTGAGATGTTTTACGGACCGTGTACCAAGGTGGGCAAGACTCGCTGTGTCTAACTTACCTCAGAATCCTCCCCCTGTTTCAAACACACTCCTCCCCTCCTTCGTGCCTCTTTCTGAAGCAGTTCTGGAGTCCTCTCTCCTGAGGGTCTTTACGGGGTGTGATCAGAAACACAGTGACTGCTGCTGTGAGCCCCAGCCTCCGAAAAACTTTATGCTGTGCCCTTGTCTACCGCATTTATGACGTCTGGCTCTGCCTCAAGGTCAAAAGGATCGTGAAAGATAAATGTTCTGAATCAGTTAAAATATCAAGGCAGCCAGGACAGCACAACTGGGACACTCATGAAAGAGAACTTTCAGAGCTCTTTCACAAAGAGGCAAGAGCAGCGATACCAGGGTGTTCCGATGGAGGGGGAGGGTTTTGAGGGGGATTCACTGTGGTGTGTCTTTTACTGTAAAAAATTTTACAAATTTAAACAGTCATTGTAATTTTGACCACACCTCATATTCTATGGGTCTCTTCTACAGAATTAGGGACTGTCTTATTTCAATGGGTCTTTAAATCATTTTATGTATGTATGTATGTATGTATTTATTTTTGAGAAAGGCTCTCACTATCCAATTCGGGATGAACTAGACTCACTGTGTAGCCCCACTGGCCTCAAACTCATGGCAGTCCTCCTGCCTCAGCCTCCCGGGTGCTGGGATTACAGATGTGCAGCACGTCGCCCAGCTTGACTCATTTCAGTGATGGAGTTCTCTCAGGTATCGTCTCATCTGATTCTTCTGCTTCCCCAGGGGAAATGAAGCTTTGTTTATGTCTTGCGCACCCAATGTCCACTACTACAGAGCAGCCGCTGTGACACTGGAGCCATGACAGCTCCGCCCCCTGCGGGCCGCAGCACCATCACTCTGCACCTCTCCAGGAGACCCGCGTGGCATTTGAATAGACACTGGCCTTCACCGTTAGGTTCCCCTTGCAGGCTAAGCCAAGCCAGGAAGGAATATGATCCCACTTCATTTTAAAGAACTCATTAGCACCTGTTTGCAGTACATGGTTACGTTCACGGGGGCTGGAGCGTGCGCAAGGCACAGCCGAATTCTTCTCACCCCCCCCCACTTCCTCCCTCCCCTCCGTCGCTTGGCCCCTCCCCACTTGCAAAGGTCTGTCTTGGGCTCTCCTTATGCCAGGCGCCTGAGCGCCCCTCCTGGTTTTCCTGCTGTCCTGGAATTTCGAAGCTGTTCTCCCGCATGTTAGAAGCGGGTGCTGCTTAGGCACGAAGGCTACAGTCCTGCCCCAGACTCAAGACTACCCGGGCAGAGCCTCAGAGTCACAGAGACTCTTCGAAGGAACCCTCTGCAGCCCACTGACGAGGACATCGCCCTCTTCTCTCCACTGTGGGCTCTCGGGGGACTTAGGCACCCTAATATGCTCACGTCTGCAGGCGAGGAGCAGGAGGCCCGAGCCGTGCACGCCACAGTTTTCAGCACAGGAGGTCTCACACTCTCCTGCCTTCTTCCCAGACCCGTCGTCACCAAGCCACTGCAAGCTCGGGAGACTGTGATGGGAGGAAGACGCGCGCCCACCATCGGGGAGGCTGGGGCTGGGGCAGGGTGAGGCTCGCCCTGCACGGAGCTGCCAGGCTGGGAGGCAGGTGCCACGGGGGCATCTCTGGGTGGAAACACTGTCTCATCACTGGGTTTAAAGCACTCTGAAATCTAACTTCTGGGTGAGTGGAGAAGCTCTCCCTTCCCTTTTATGCATTCTCTTGAAGTGTTTCCGTTTTTACTTTAAATGCATTTTAGCTGATCTAGGTAAACACAAGCTTGCGCGCGCTTGGGGCACCCTGTGGTGGTGCAGTCGGCACGCACCCTGCACGGTGCTTACGTGGGGTGAGGACGGCCCGTCAAAGGCTCAGCCTTCCCCACTGCGAACGCGTCCGGCAGCTCCTCTTGCGTCACTGCAGTCCCTGGTGGTGGTGTCGGGAAGGCAGGGACAGCTGATGAATGTTGGCCTGCTCTTCACGCTTTCTCTGGAAACTTCAGAAGCAGCTCAACAGCTTCACAAGATAAAACCAGCTGCCATGCAGGCGGCTGATCCCGTCCACCCAGGATCTGTGGTACAGCCTGGGGCAGGTTCGTCTATTTCTGACGAAGTTAGGTATGGGAGGAAGTGGACAGGAAGAGCACAGCACCGGGCTCCTGTCCTGCACACGGCACCCGCTCTGTGCTCTTGGCCTTGACATCCAGTCTCTGCTGTTCATGAAACGCGGGGCCTGCAAGCGCTGCCAGCCCGGGGCACCCAGCAGGGCCTGCAAGCGCTGCCAGCCCGGGGCACCCAGGAAGCCTGGCAAGCCAGAGGCGCTTGGCCAGCTCAGCGCCCTTTCTGCAACCCGCCTGTGTCCTTCCCTGCAGACCAGCTCCACGGCTGCCCCCTCACCCCTGCCTCGCCAGGTCGTTCTGAGGAACCGCACTGTCTGCTTCCCTGCAGACGCTTGCTCCTCTCTCAGGGCTAGTGGTGAAGGGAGAGGGAGAAGTTTACACACAGCGCCCAGCTGAAAATGACTTTAGCACAGAGTTTATTTAATACATCCTCCAAATTGTATTTTGAAGCCTCTGTTAACAAGAAAGCACTCTCTTTTCGAGCAGCGGGAGTGTTTTATAAATGGAATTTGCAGACCGGCAACACTCCCATTAATTTTCCCTGTCTACAGTTACTATCATTACATTCTTAAAGCACTTTTAAAATAAACTACTCCATGATGTCATGTGCACACTCTGGGCTCCAGCGAGCGGACGAGGGACCGCAGCATCTGGACCCGGGGTCGCTATCTTCTAGGGAACATCTTGATGGCTATAATTACTGTCATGTTATGGGAACTTAAGAAAAAAAGGCGCCAGAGTTCCAAATAAAACATAAAATGGCTTTGATTTAATAAATGTTACTATCATTGTTTAAAAATGTTGTGACCCGTCTGCTAGTTTCTGAGAAAGATATTTTCCAGCCCTTGAAATGTTCCCTCCTCCCTCTTTCATATTCTATTACTGCAGATAAGGATGAAGAAAATCCTCGGGACAGACTTGCTTTAAATCAACGTAACACAATGCCAGCATTGTCTCCCTTCAAGATGAACTTTCAAATTAAATTTGGCGTGAGCTTTGCCAGAGCCCTGAGCAGCTCCGCTCCTGCGCCGCTGTACCCACCATGTTGGGGAGAGATAATAACTCGCGCATTGTGCTTGTGGTTAATTGCAGTCAGTATGGTGAGGCAGGAGCCGAAGCTTTTGCTGTGGGACACACCCACGCCCGCACCCACTGTACCCACGGCCGAGGTGTTAGGAAGAGCTTGGGCCACTCCAGAGCAAGTGGAAAGGGACAGAATGAATACTCATGTGGAACAGATATTTTGGAAGGGCCCACAACAAATCTGGACCCCCACAGTGGACCAGTTGCTGGAAGAAATCATCCATGGTGGTATTCACTCGGTTTCCCCAGGAAGTTTTACTATGCAAAATTCATTCAGCCTTGAGAAAGCTAAGTTCTTGTTTCACAAGGGGTCTTCACAACTTTAAGGAAGGCACCGTGCCTCACTGAGGCAATCGGCTGGCTGTGACGACAGGCTGCGCACAGAGCACAGCGGGTAACCTGCTCTGTGGATGGTGTACACCTCTGCTGGTTTGCTGGTCGGGTCTTTCGATTTGAGGATGGACCCTAAGATGCAGGAGTTGGGACTTAACTAGGAAAAAGTTATCGGAACCGATCTAGATCTCATTCTATTCTGTGTTTATGGAGTGATCGTGTCACATGTGTCACATCAGTGGACACGCTCCATGGTCTCCAGGATAGTGAATTCTTTTTATTTCAGGGAGACACCATGTTCCCCTTTTTCTCAGAGTTTTGCTCATGTGCCCTGTGTAACTGATCAACAGTAACTTGGAGTTAAAAGAAGCAATGGTTCAGCCTCCGGCCGCCTTCTTCACAGTCAGCACCAGCCAGCTGCTAAGAAGAAGCCTGTGAGAACACCCAGGCCAGGCCAGGTGGGAGCTGACTGACCTCGTAAACCATCTCACTCAGTCCAGGCAGAGGCCTTGTGGTCACGGGCATGCTGGACCTTCTGTCAGTGCATTTTGCCAGTGTCCGTTTTGCTCAGCCTGCTCCCCTGAACATCTTCCATTCACAAGACACTTCCTCAGGTCTGTTCCTCCTCAGAAGCTAGACTGAATTATTGCTCTGCACAACATCAGGTGGAAGGAACTGGAAGGTTGGCATGAAGGGAGAGGAGAAGTCAATTGATGGCGGGCAATTTGGTTGTTACCCGAAAGCCAAAGTCAGGTTCTAATTCTGCCACTTTTTCATCTCTGGGTAACAACTCCCAGTACCTACAACTTAAGTAGGAGGAGAAGATATTTCGGCTCATGTTTCAGTCCATGGTTGGCTGGATCCAAAGAAAGAACAGTATGGCTGAGATGCACAGCAGAGGAAGAAGTTGCTCAAGTCATGGAGCAAAGATGGAAGGACAGGGAGTGAGTGTAGCCTTCTGGGTCATAGGTCAGGCGGAGGGAGATGTACCCTTCCAGCTTATACCTCGCAGTGGCCTGACTGTTTAGACCAGGCCCCACCACCCACCAGCGAGTCAGCTATAGTACCCCGATAGTCCAGTCACCTCCTAACAGCCAAGCCTGTGAGCAAATGAGGCTCTTGGGAGACACCTCGACAGAAACCATGTTTGAAACTGCTCAGTTTCTTATGAAGACCCATACTACGCTTCTTTCTTTTAGAAAATGGCTCCACCGTTGTGGGGGCTCTTTCTGTCTCTTTATTGTCTCAATAGAGCTCCTCAGTGTTGGCTACCCAATAAAAAGTAGTGGTTGTAATCCAAAGAATTCTTGTGTAAGTGGCCTTTGTAGACAACAAATTGACTCTTCCCACTGAAATAATCCGCTGCCATTTCAGCGTTAAGTAATACTTCATAAAAAACCTCAGTAACCTTAACCGAGCATTCACTCTACTTGCTGTTTGTTGAAGCGTTTACGACTTTTACTCAAGACAAGAGAAATAAGAAGGAAAGAAATGACTCTAAATACAGAACATTTTATTACACAAATAAAAAAAGAGAACGTATCTGTTAGTTCTTGCCAACTTTTGAAATATGGATTCCATTTGTCTTTATTACAGTCAACTCCCACAGTGCCTTTTCCCTATTTATTAATTTTTGAATGTTACTATTAAGCAGAGGTATGTGCCTACTGGACTTAGTCAAAGCTATTTCAGCAAACTTAACAAATGAGAAAAATATATCAACTTAACCTTTTATTATTCTGTCAGTAAATTAGGAGGCATGCAATTATTATAGCTCATAATCCCTTTTCTAAAAAGTCACATGCATTATCACAATAAAATGTCCTGTCAGATCTACAATAATCTTGATGACTCATAGATATGTGATTCTTCTTATTAAGAAAAAAAAGTACAGGAAATCCAATATAAATGAGCTGTTTTCCTCAGTGGTGCAATAAAACTTGGATCCTGGAATATGAGTTTTTGATTATATCATCTACTGATAATCTCTGGGCTCATTTCCTCCCCGTGAGGAACCGGCCTCCTTCCGCCCTGCACCAGCCCCCTTTGGCCACTAACATTTTAGCAATTCTACCCTCAGCTGGGGAGAGGCCTCCTGGTCACCACCACCCCAGTGTAGTATATTTTAAGGGTTGTAAATTTTCACCGTCAGATTTGAGCCAGGGGTGTTAAGCTCCAAAAGATACACATCTGCTTCCTCCTCAAATGGTCTTTTGTTGCGCTTCATGGCAGAGGGAGAGTGCAAGCACCCCAGTGAAGGTGGGAGTGAATTATGGTGTCTCACAAAGAAATCCTCATGACGACAAATATAACCAGCATCCATTCTGTCCTGAAATTCTGCATTTCTTTTCAGAGCTCCATGATAATATTTTATTGCCCTTTAATGAACAGAGCAAGTCACTATTACATTTCTAAAGTGAAAAATTATGTTGTAACCTGAGTCATAACCCTTGAATGTATCTGGTTTCTAAGTTTGGATTTCCAAATGGCAGGTTTTCCTAAATAGGATCCCATGAACACAGGGTCCAGCAAACAAAAAATCAAGCAATGACTCGGGACAGTGCCTGTGGACCCTGCCAACGTATCCAGCCACGAGTGTTTATTAAATACCAACAAGGCTAATCAAAGAGGAGTGCTAGATGTATGTTTATGTTCTCTCTATTCTAATGCCCCACGAACCAAGGGGGGAAGGAGGAGAGATCAGTTATGTAGCTAGCAGCAAGGCAAAGAGATAAATATAGTCAGTTCTCGATTTATAAATGGTTTGGTTCCAAATTCTGTTCAGTAAGTCTTTCTTTTGGAACAGTCAATGCATTTTCCCATAGAAACAAAATTACCAATGGTGGGTAGGTTTCCCAGCCAGCCCACAGAGTGCACTTAACCCGTGTGCAGCCAGAGACGAGCACACTGGGACTTGTTCACCAAGCTTTTGTGGGGACACGCCTTTCTTACCCACTGAAGTGCGTGTCTAGTGCACACTTGGCTGGGGTTAGAGATATAGGGGTTCCGAGCAGTGGCAGTGGCTCCTGTGGGTTGGAGGATAGCGGGCTGGTGAGGGCACAGAGCAGTGGGTGGAGGTGGAGGAGTCCGGCGGGGCTCCCAGATGGTACCTGAGCACATTTTGTCTTGCTGGAAGAGAAGGTGGAGTCAAGGACGGCAGTGAAGGAGGGGGTGTTTTGGGGAAGGGGTGGGCATCAGCATGAGGTCCCCTAAAGCCCGTGGTTCCTGAGTGGGGAGGTCAATTACTACACCAGCAAGGCCTAGCCCAGCAGGGCCCAGGGCCCAGCAAATAAGGGCTTCAGCGTCCATTCTGAGGTGGGATTTCGGAGAGGCCCGTGTCGCTGTACTTGCACTTCAGGACTTTGCTGGGCCCCTGTGTTGAGATGGGCAGAGAAGCCACCCCAGGAGAGCCTGGGCGCCTGCTGGAGTCGTCTCAAGCTAGAGGTAGGTGGCTGAAGAGGCCCTGGGCAGGTGGACGGGAAGGAGAGGACAAGAGGGGCTTAGCAGGAAAGAACGAGTGATGTGGTGCTGAGGGAGCATCAGAGACAAGCAGAAGGGAGGTGGTGTCCAACAAACGGAAGCCAGGGGCAGAGACGGTGTCAAATGCTCTGTTACACGTGTGCCCCGGTCCTTACTCGGTGACTGCGGTGAGAATTGATACTTGGGGGCAATGTACATGTGTGAGCACATGCTCTGTGTGCATGCATGTGAAGTCCAAGAAGGCACAGACCCCGTGGCAGTGTCCTTACCAGCAACAGACGTGTGCCACAGCCAGGGCAGATCCTTATGCCTCCCTGTGTTACTGCTGGACGACCACACTGTCAGAAGCCAAGGACAAGGCGCACATTATAAGGATCAGCACTACCCACCCTTCGCCATTCCCACCACGTCCTGTCCCTGCTTTAGGCCCCTGTCCCACCCTCCTGCACCCTCCCTAGTGCCCTTCACTCCTCTGTGGCCTCCACATGCAGCAAGGTCCCAGAGCTCAGTTATCGGGTTAACATTATCCCTCAGATATTGCAGGCTGATCAGGTCCACAATCTCCCAAACGAGTATACAGTGAGGGCTAAATAAAAAGAGGCAAATGGAATGATTTCAGGGCTCCAAGAGGATCAAAACCCTCTCACAGAATTCGAGATTCTCTCGGGGCTAAGACCAAGACCTTCTCTGGGTGGTCCACTGGTTATCAGAAGGGAGAGGAGTACTCAAGAGGGTGGAACCACTCAAGGACTTCTCCAAGTAAGGTATTAAATTAATCCACCCAGGAGCGAGGTGCCTGAGGTTACAGTCTTTGTCTAGTTGGGATCTGATCCAGGCATCCTGGGCTGTGATCTTGCCTTATCCTTTGAGGCTTTCCAACTTCATTTGCCATTATAGACCTCAGTAGGGACCAGAGACTCACAGAGGTTCACTTACTATGTGTCCACCGCCCATCTCCAGATGACTGCACGCGGGACAGCGATGCTGCTGCCTGCCATTGGCCCAGGCCGACGCCAGCATCCACAGAGGGCCCCCGGCCGGGGCTGCTTCCCTGGGGTTGGTTCTTCAGGCCTTCGGGTGCAGGTCACCATACAGAAGGGGATGCTGGGGTTCCCAGAACGGTGTGCCATGCCCCTCCTGGCCCGTCCCAGGGCCTCTGCTACAGCTCTGAGCACAGCAGTGAACGCACCAGAGATCTGTATGACAACACACAGCAGCACCAGGTCCCCGGCTGTCCTGGATGGAAAGTCATCTGGGAAGGTCACTCCTGAGCAGCCCCCTTCTGCCCCACTAAGTGTGGGACACGTCTCCCACTCAAACTCAAATCCCACGGGCTGTTGCTTTTCCAAATAGCAAAGGGCTGCCGAGTCTGCCTTGATATGAAACATGATGCCCGTGAGGGACACAGAGCTTCGAGGAAGGGGTTCAAGGAGTGGGTACCCGAGGTCACCTGACCCCGAGGTGCCAGTATCAGCTTCAGCCTCCCTTCCTCTCTCTCCCTTCCCCTCTGTGTGCATAGCGGGGTGATTTAAAAAATATAGTGAGTGGAGCCACTGCGCCTGGGGCTCTGGGGGAGACTCCAAAACCTGGGGGAGGGGGAGGGACAGCTTCTGGAGACCCACTGGGGTGGATGCTAAGAGGAAGAGTGAGACTTAGGGGGTTAAGACTGGGTGGGGGGCTCTTGCGGGGGGTGTGACATGAGGAACTTTCTGTTCAAGTTTAGGTGTTGCCCCAAGTAAGGGTCAGATGTGGAGCGAGTTTGGGATGCAATCATTTGTGATCTTCAGCTCTCCTGTTATTTTTTAATTCTTTATTTTTTTTTTGTCTTTTTGACACAGGGTCTTGCTATACAGTTCAGACTGGCCTCAGGCTCACTTTGTAGGCCAGGCTGGCCTCTACCTCGCAACGATCCTCCTGCCTCGGCCTCCCAAGTGCTGGGATTACAGGTGTGCACCACCACACCCGACCAGCTCTCCTTTTAATGTGGCAAATTTGCAGAGGCTCTGCATAAGCCTTGGGAGAGTCAGAGCAGACCAGAGCTGCTGTTGCTGGTGTCTGGTCTGGTCTACCCTATCGGCCATGGTGTGGCTGGCAAAGTCTGTCTCCCCAGCTGGAGAATTTCAGTGCAGAAGCACAGGTTTCCCTGCCTCCATCTCTCCTGCTCTCTCTCTCCTTCCCTCCCTCCCTACAAAATAAATAAATAATATAGTGAATGTTTTAATTTTAAAAATTTGTTACAGTAAAAGACACGTTTCTGTGAGTCCTGCTCAGAGTCCTGCCCCTTACTCTGAACACACGCATCCCATCATTGTTGCCCCTTTCTGCAGCAGCTCTGGAGTCCTCTTTCCTGAGGGTCTTTAGTTACACTGTCCAGCTGCCTCGATCTCTGCAATCGATTCAAAACATTTACCTTTCATGGTTTAGACTTTGAGGAAGAGCCAGAAGGTGCACCCTGTCAGATCCAGTGATGAGGCGGATGAGGTCACGCTGTGTACTTTGATAGCATCTGATAAAGACATGAAAAATATAGTAGCATATCTCTGATTAGAAATGAAAAATTAAGAAAATATAGAATAAGCAAAAAAACCCACATCCCTATTATTACAACTAGAAGTGCCCAGCCAACGTCGTGCCAGTGCCAGTATTTACTGAACAGCATGGGGTCACGTGTGTTACCCAGTGACGTGGTCATTCCCATAGGGCAGGTGGAGGGGCACAGCTGGCCCAGGGCCGGATTGTGAATGTGGCGAAAGCACATTTTGTTTCCTTCTGAAGTTCAATTTTTATATCTAATCTTTCTTCTCTTCTGCTTCTCAC